TTCATTTCGACCTATCAGCCTTTTGAGCTGTATAGGAAAACTCCTGGAAAAGATCTTAACGACGAGGATAGCGTCCTACCTAGAAGACAAACGCCTTCTGAATCCAGCTCAAGCTGGCTTTCGCCGAGGAAGGTCAACCGTAGAACAGCTAACACGGCTGACACATAGAGCGCTACACACCACGCACAAAGAGAATCATCTCTCACAAGAGAGTTTTGTACGTCCCCAAATGTCTCGCTTTGCCTCATTGTAGCAATCAATAAACTTCGACAGTTTCTTCTTGTCATCCCCATCTTCCAGATATAATCATGGAGTCCCCGTGAAGAAATATGCCCTCATTCCTTTTGAAAACCACGTACGAAACTGAGTAGACTTTATTCAAATGGAGTTTCAGTAAAGAGACGTACTCGCAGGTTCTGTCTTTTATTTATTTGGGTCGAGAGAAGAATACTACTTCTCCCTACCGAAGGAAGTAGACGTGCAATTCAGCGACGTATGTGGGGCGGGGCCATAAATTATGCACACCCCCGCAGTACTGGTATTAATAATGGATGTGTCCCTACCATGGAAAAACCCCTATAGCCAAAAACTAAATGTGGCTTTACGACGATGGGACCAGCGGAAATCCGTCGTAATGCCTGGGTTTCGAAACCCAAAATATCCTCCCTGAATCCTATAGGGGTCAGGAGACCTATAAGACCCTATAGGGATCCTATAGATTTTTCGTGTGTCAAAAACCTATAGGAAAGTCTATATGTTTCCTATAGGACATTTCCGTAATGGTTGTTACAATAGGGGAAATTGGAAGTCTCATGACGAGAACCATCATCCCTTTCTCTATTTGGTTCCGAAGAGTTTCAAATTCGTTCGGTGTGTCCCATTTAATATACGATAGGTGTTAATTGAAAGCTTATTGTTTGGTGCCGATACTTATTGGGACGAAAGATAAAAAAGTCCTACAATTTTTACGCCACCTCATTTCGGCGATAAGAATAGCATTTTACTGAATGCCTTCCCGTCCGCTTCGTCAGTTTGCAACATTTGGTTAAAGCACTATATTATCAATGTTGTCTATTTATTATGTTCTCAAAATACCGCAAAACAGGTGGTGAAGTATTGACAATTTTGCGGCGGGATCTACTGAACGTGCGAGAAAGAGAGTAGTTGCAGTCGTATGTGCATGATGCCATGCACAAAATGCTGTTTCGCAGACTGCTTCCATTAATAGTGAAATAGACGAAGAAAGAGCAGAAAGACATGCACAAAATACACTAATTCCACTTATTTCAGTCCGTGCTTGCACGGGCTTTTCCACTAGTTTGGATATAAAATGTCGAGGTCAAGCATACTGAATTTTTGGATAGGTCTACTCCTCTTAAAGCAAAACACTTCTTTCTCTTTTTGTAATTTTTTTCAGCATATCCCACTCGCTTACTGCTCATTCCCAAACGTCTACATTACCCCCACCTTTGCTTTGTTCATGAAACCATCTAGTTCTACATCTACATGAAAGGGATGAGGGGATGGCTCTGGATTTTCAACCCAGATCTCCAGTCCCAGAAAAGCCCTATCCTTGGTCGCATGCCATTTATTTGTTTGTATATGGATTAACCAACTGAGCTTGCAGGTGAAATGGTCCATACAATTTGCCTCCATTAGAATATATTCTCAGTTGACTCGGTTAGCCGCTTCGGATGGTTCTGGAGAAATTCATGACCAGAACATGGAATAAGCATTTTATTCCATGCGTTGCCCCAAATGTTTGAATCTCCTAGTGTACGACAAGGTTCGAGATGACTTTGGGAGGTGTTTCCAAGTGCATCATATTTTTGCTGTTCATTAGCTTGGAATGGCAGCACTTTCGATCTGCTAAGGGTTAAGGCTAACTTGACTTACACTGGATGTAGTAAAAAAAAACGCGCTGCACTTTGAGATTCTTTGGAGATCATGAGATAGCAGATAGCATAGCATCATTTTTTTGCAACGACTTCTTTGTATCTTCGAAACGCCCTGATATTCTTGTTCGTTTTTCTCCAGCCGATTTAGCACAGGAGCGAGAATGCGAAGGTAAGTCGAATTTGTTCCACGTTAGGAAACGTATTGGCGCTAATCTCGGGCCGGAAATCCTCTGTCTGCACATAAAAATGTTGCTCTTTGCGAAAGGAAGGGGTGGGACAGAACTTTGCTAGAATTTTCTGGTAAAGGATTACGGAAATGTAGGACTATCGTGAAGATTCACAAGCTGAGAGAAACCGATTTATTTGAGAGGGATCGAAGGAGCGGGAGACTCAAACTAGCCGGAACTGAAGGAAACTGCGTTAATGGGGAGGAAGTCATTGTTTCTCAAGATGATAATCTCGGGACGAAACATTCTTATCCGCAAATTGCCAGACGCTAGGAAGGGACTTGGATATGCTAAGCGGATTTTGATGGGCAAAGGAAAAAAATCCTTAAATGAATTATATTTTCGTGATTGAATGGGGCAGATCCTCCCGCCAGCGTCCAGGTGCGAATGTAAAATTACAATTCCAGTTGCTTTTATAAATTCACTCGTGTTCAGAAACGTCCAATGTTTATATGTAGGTATATGTAAACGTCTAACAATATTTTTAGCTGCTGAGGTCAATTTCACAAGACCCAGAATGACGACATTAAACGAGCGCGAAAATGGCCTCTATACGGGATTTAATGAGACTGTTTATTTGGCATTCAAATATATATAGACTAGTGAATAAAATAACGTTTTAACAAATTCGCTTTTCAAGCGACGTTGGTATTTAGCAAGTACTCATTTGGCCTTAAAAAAAATCTATATGGGAATCAAAGCGCAATACCCTCCGCATGAGAGTGCGAGGCGGCGGAGACGAAGAATTACTAGCCTCAAAAGGGTATCAGCCGAAGCGAACCTTACTATAGCGGATCAACACGCAACAATGCACGCCGCTCAACCACCTGCGGGAAGGCTACGCGCTTGCGCAATGACCGACCTGAAGGGAGTGAGTGCCAATTTAGGAACAGCTTCTGATCCAAAGGAGATGCTATGTTTGAAACGTTGTTTTCTCGACGTACGAAGTGCTGACAATGGTAATTCTTATCCCTATTCACTCGGGAGAATCTCCTCTATGAAATGGTCTGATTACTTTTTGCATTTTCGCCCCCGAACGAGAGCAAAACGCCAGGAAGTGAAGAACGCACTGGAAAAGTGTCCATTTCCGGGGATATTCGAGTACTTTCCAGAAAAACGGCTCGAACGATTCTCACGAAACTTGGCGTGGGGATGGAGATGGGTGTTCCCCAAAATCTGAATCTGCTTTTTCTCTGAAATGAATCTCTTCTCGAAACGACGGCGGAAAAACTAATTGACGAAAATCCATAGCTCGAAGAAAAAAATTCGCCTGACCTTTGACGTGAGAGCCTCGGCGTTCAGCTTGACTCCATGTTGTAGAGAACTTTCTCTGCTTTCTAATGATGAAAGGAAAACAACAAGACTTATGACAAGACTTATGACTGAAGTAAAAGTGATAGAGCTGTATAGGAAAACTCCTGGAGAAGATCTTAACGACAAGGATAGCGTCCTACCTAGAAGACAAACGCCTTCTGAATCCAGCTCAAGCTGGCTTTCGCCGAGGAAGGTCAACCGTAGAACAGCTAACACGGCTGACACATAGAGCGCTACACACCACGCACAAAGGAATGCATTTCCTAGCCCTCTTTTTCGACGTCACCAAGGCGTTCGACAAGGTTTGGCATCAGGGCCTGCTCTACAAACTCCATCATCAACTCTTCCTCCCGGCTCCAGTCCTCAGGTGGATACGATCCTATCTTACAGGTCGCACATTCCAGGTTCGAGTCAACAACGAGCTGTCTAATCCTTACACCGCTACAGCTGGAGTACCACAAGGATCAGTCTTGGCACCGCTGCTTTTTCTTGCGTTTGTCAACGACTTACCTCGACACATACCATCATATGCACATGTCAGCCAATATGCAGATGATACAGCCATATGGCTCACGAGTAGAAATGAAGTCAAGCTAGAAAAGGACGCCCAACTTGTCCTCGACGCTCTTTCATCCTACTGTAAGGATTGGAGGATTTCCATGAATCCTTCCAAATCCTCATACCTTTACGTGCCTAGAAGCCTATCCCGAGACACCTACAACTTTAGGCTTTGGATGAATGGGGACCTCATCCCCGCTGCTTCCACCTGCAAATTTCTAGGTATCACTTTCCACAAACACCTCCGTTGGTCCCCCCACGTGCAGATGCTACGCCAAAAGGCAATTCGTAAGTTGAATTGCCTGAAGTTGCTCTCGCGTGTCAACGGTTGTGAGCCCAACGTCATCATGCGCCTGTATAAGGCTTACATCCGTCTTGTTTTAACGTACGGATTTGCGGCCTGGGCCAATGTCCCCGATTCCACCTTAGACACGCTTGCACGCATCGAACGAGCAGCGATTAAATTCGCGTACAGAATCCCACGCCACTACTCCTCTGATTACATCTATAGGGTCAGTGGACTTGCACCTCTTGACGTGTACACCTCAGATCTAGCTCTCTCCTTCTATGAGGACACTTGCCTTGAAGACGTACACGAATACCTGACAACATACGACAGGAAGCACAAAGGACAACGACGAGCGTTCAGAGCTGAATACCCCATCTTCAGCATACGCCGTCGAATCGCCAGTTGGGAAGATTATATCGCTAACACACTCGATGATCTCCCAAATGACTCAACTACTCAGCCATGCTCCCCCCAACCCTCACCTATCCTTTGACCATTTCTTTGTTCCCCTGGCCGCCTTTTAGGCCATTTCCAATCCTTCATTCTTCAACTCATGAAGCCTTCTACAGTAGATACCCCATAAAGGGGACTTTGATCTTACCCACCCCTTCTTACTCCTTTGCAGCCACAACTGTCCTAATCGCTTTCATTCCCCACCAATTAAGGCAGTTCAGCGTCAACCGTAGGATCTCTCTCTTTAGCTAGTCTGCCTTATTAAGCAGCTATCCCCTCTATCTGTCGGGAGAAGCAGGGAGCCTGATAATGTTTTCTTAACAGCTGGCGCCTGTCAATCCCAAGTAGCTCATGGGGCACCTGATAGGTACCTAAAACTTATATAAATGCTATTACTAAATGGATAGGATTTAATAATCTTTAAAAGTGGGTATAAAATAGCCCCAACGTGTTTTCATTCTTTAAAAGTTAAACGAATAGGTCTCACCTTTTTCTAGGCTGCTATTGCAACTGTCCTAACTAATGAGTAATCTGTAAAACAAATGGGAGAAACCTAGGTCTCCGACCGGAACAATGGGGACCATTCCCATTGTCTAAATCAGCTTCGAGGGCGTCTTGCACCTGCCAGCCCGCCCGCAGGAGGGTTTCACTGGGACTGGCGGGACCCCTGATGTACCCACCATCAGGGAGAGGGGCCAGTCCCCCCATTAGCTCCTAATCTTTCACAAAAAAACGTATGATTTCATCCGGATAGGAGATCTAAAATAGGCAGATAGTGTCCGTGAACTTCATTCAATCATAAAACAATTAGATAAGTTAAAAAGGGTCTAATATCCCCAACACCCCATGGAACCTATAAAAGGTAGTCCACCCTCTGACGTGTGCTCTAATCAGTACAGAGTTAGGGCAATGCCTATGCGAAAGCGAAAGCGACACAGCATAAATGCGAATTTTATTATTTGCATGACATCCCTATCACTTTCTGATGGAGGACTGACGGAGGAGGAGAGTAATTTTACTCTTTGGTGATGGAGTAAATTCGTTCCTTTCCCAGAGTGAAGGGGGGGGGGGTGAAACTGGAGTTAACTATTTTACTCTCTTTTTGAGGAAAATCGCTCCCTTTTTCTAAGAGTGCATATATCGTCAGCCCAAATGTGATTTAAATATACGAAATAGACCATAATACCTGCGATTGGGAGTTAGGCTGAAGTTCTTGGCGAAAACTTGGTCCTGTTTCTCTGGATGAAATCTTGTTTTCAAAGCCATATTTTCCAGTTATCTGAGGAAAACCATGATACGGTCTTAAACAGTGGTTTTGCCTGCGGAATGGTTCTGAATCTGAAGAAATACATGGGAGTTTCATAATAATGTTAAGTGACTCTTGACTTCGTAACTTTTGCTAATACATCTAAATTCGTTAATACCTGTATTAGGGTACGTCACGTGTATGCTTGCTCGGCCCTGCTGATATCCCTACACTCAGATAAATAAGTGAACTCAACATGCGCTACTTCGAGAAGAAGAGACCGGTTACTCTCGTTTAACTTTGCCATCTAAATGCATATGTGTTTGAGTCTAATTTTCCTAGTTTATAGTTTACCTTTGTGTCGACAATCCCTTCACTTTCCGCTGGAGCAGAAGAAATGCATTTCAGAGGGTCGACTTTCGAAGGCTGATCAGAGTCACCCCAATCCTAGGTCCACATAATTCAGGTTTAGCATCGCGTTCCAGGAGGGACATTGTGAAAACTAAATATTACAATAGCCACAATTTCACAAACCTGCTGTTTGATGTTTTCCACAGTTAAGGTGGGTGACTGATTCCGTGAAGTGGATGTTTTCTGCGACATATTGTTGTCTTCTGAATGAATTTGCTGCCTATCACTCGCACATTCAAGGTGGTGTTGCGAATCAGACCTTGAAATCAGTGGGTCTTGTCCTTCGTGGCCTCGAAGTTGATAATGAATAGCGGAATTGGCTATTGCGGGAGAAACTTCAGAACTCCTACCAGCAGTCGTCTGGAAAAAAGAATATTTCGTCGTCTACACAGGAAAACCAGTATTCTCGTACATTAGGTGAATTGCTGTGCCTAATATAAAAAATTTCAATTGTAACTTTCACATAGGAATTGGTCAAAGTAATTACCTCTGCGATTTCTTGAGATACGATATTACTAGGTATCGTTTCGAAGCTGTGCAATTAAACGTAAATTGTCTCAGAAACTAAAATGAATTGTAACAGCTTAATAGTATCCAAATGCCATTCACAACCCACTAGCAAAAAAACATCATACTTTTCAAATAAATAATACACATAATAATATCAATGCTCACAATGGAAAATGGAGGGGGAGGGTGGAAGGAAACATTCTTCTTTTACTGTATGAAGTCCCACGCCCTCTAATACGAAGAATGACAAAGGTTTCTGTGCTGCGCGAAGGCCCTAGTTCTTGGTCTATCCCGTCTGTCGGACATGAACGCATTGCAATCTATTTTCCAGATTAACGACCCCTGGAAAAAACTCCTTCAAGGAAATACACCATAACTATTGGGAAGTTTTGTTGGACGACGCTTCAGTTAATCAAGTATTCCTAGCATAATTAATTATGCAAGGAAAAATTACTGACGATTGCGGATCTTGACATCCAGAAATTTATTAACACACATGTCAGCACCCTTGAAATAATAAGCATACAGTAATATAATAACATTTACGTTAGGGTAATTGGCGCATTCAACTTTATTACTGACTGAGCCTCATGAAAGTGGAAAGCAAGCAGTTTAAGTGGGGAAGAGAGTCAATTGAAGATGACCCAAGGTCGGGGTGCCGTGTGGAGGCTTCTGATCAGGAAATGTGTGACAAATTGGAGAGTGCGATACTGGAGGATCGTCGCACCGAAGTCTCTACTTTAGCCCATGAACTGGGGATTTCAGAAGGCACAATGATTCACATCATTCATGAAAAATTACACATATCCAAAGTCAGTTCTCGATGGGTCCCGAGAATGCTGATTCCAGCTCAAAAGAAAAACAAATCTGACGTCTGCAAGGAAAACTTGGAGTTTTCTAAACAAATCGGGGAAACATTTTTTCCCAGAATAGTAACTGGTGATGAAACTTGGGTTCATACTATATATTCCTAAAGGAATATATAGGAATCCTATGAGACATTTTCGTAAGGGCTTCCTCTGAGATGGTGAAAATAACCTTGGTCGAAGCCTTTTGGATGTCCAAAATCGTGTCGAAACTCTTTCCTTTCAGCTTCATTTTTAGTTTGGGGAAAAGGAAACAATCACAGGGTGCCAAATCAGGCGAATAGGGCAGGTGGTCAAACCTACGACTCCTTTTGAGGCCAAAATGTTCCGCACAATGATGGACCTGTGAGACGGAGCATTCTCGTGGAGAGACCAGCTGCCTGGTGCTTCGTATTGAGGATGGACCCGCCCAAGCAGCATGTTTACGTAAACATGATATCCATTTTTTGCAAACACTGTAAATTTCTTGCGATTGCGATTGACATGACGTTTACGTAAAATTTACGTTCCTATATTTACGTCACCAAGTGTCCGTGTATTTTACGTAAACTAAACGTCACTCCATCTGACGTGAAGTACATAATATCAAGTTTATGCAAAGTTAACATCACACATTCCATATGAAACTTTAGCTGACCATCCCACAATTGCAATACCAAGATTCCTCACTAGATAGAACCCTTGTTCCCTGCACCCTACAAATGATATTAAGTACTGGCTTTCCCGATATAGTATCAGGTTTTCTTACCATCCTTTCATTTTTTATTAAGCAATCCATGAATATATATATGGAAAGCAGGAAATTATTAATATTTTAAAAATAATATATGACTCAGGGAATCATTAAATGCTGAAGCTAAGCTTGTTATTACAGCAGTGCACGGGATTAGGGTAGAGTAGAATCCAGCCTCATAAGTACTACACTTCCTCTATCTTGAATGGAGGAGAATTCCTCTAAACTTCTACTTCTCCTCCCGAGGTCCTGATACGGGAGGAGGAACTAGTGAGTCCTCTTGGTACCCTTGAGTGCTGATAAGGATGAGTACTTGTGTACTCGTCCAAGTAACCTTGAGATCCAAAGTATGGAAAGAACGGGAGAATTACAGTGTATCAATTTTCTCCAAAAGGACGAATTGGCTTGTTAAATACACATGAATGTTAGGGGGAAGTCAACATCAATTTTACATAAAATGAATGTAAACATGCTGTTGGGGATGTAAACGGGAATGTCAATTTTACGCAAAATTTACGTAAATTTTATATCACCATTTATGTATTCCATAGGTGACATTATCTTGATGATGGTTTGCGTAGATATAAAATGGACAAAAAATTTACATTCAGTTTACGTAAAATTAACATAAACATGCTGCTTGGGGACATTTCCGTAAAGGGCAAAGTCTCGTGCCTCGAGGAGTTACCGCGTGGGACTGGTCCAGTCGATGCCACGGCTGGGAATGGCGAATGGGGGTGTCTGTCATCACTGTCTTCCTCTCATTTCTGCTTCTCGTCGATGTCCAGGTCCATTTTGCTTTGCTTTCAGTAGAGGCTCCGAAGAGAAATTGAATTCTCCGCATTCGGCTCTGCGATTAATGAGGAAAACTCAAGGATTTTCTCGAAAATGCCGGTGAAAACCAGTGCAACTCTTAAAATAGGATTCCGAAAGTACCGAAAGAAGCTCAAGAGGACTTAGTCCCATTGAAAGCTTCTCTATGGAGCAAATGGAGATTGAAAATGGGTCGCGTTACGCCATTTTCCAGACAGAAATAATCAAAACACTACAGGAATGATCATTTTACAAATTAATTCATCGCATGTAGTCTATCAAGGGCAATACCCAAGGGCGTCCAGTAATGATTCTGCGTCAAAGAAACAGCTCTCCCAGCAGGCGTTATCCAGAAATAAAAGTGAAAGGTGTCGATCTTAATCCCCCGTGAGCACCCATGACTAATTGTCGCGATTAAATACGGGCATTTTTCTATTTCCATTTCCGCCTGCGAGAAGATATGGAGATTGAGAGAACGTGGCATAATTTTACCGTGCTACGCCAGATCACCAAGAGGCAAAAGAAAAAAATTCCCTTATCTGACATCCACCTCCTGAGGGAACGCAGCTCGCTCACGTGATCTCAAAAGCCTCCATGAGCGAACCGGGGAGCGGAGACTGGAGGATGGTGGATTTCAAAACAGTTTACAATGTTTCAATTGACTCATTCACTATTGTCAAAACTAGCGTACATTACATTGTGTCATGAGTCGTTTTCACTTGGCCGAATTTGACTAAGTGATCACATTTAGTTCATTTCCATATTCTGAAGCTCTGATATCGATTTCCTCGACTTTCTAGCAGGCAAAAAAAGGCATCGCTTGAATGCCAGATAGTTGATAAAATCCTTGATGAGGGAACGGGTCAGATTTAAAGGACTGCATTTCCAAAATAGTTCACGTCAGGAATGTGACACTTTTAGGGAACATTTAGCCCATCAATATGATGACTTATGGTGATTGCTGATGATATTTTTTCGGCCCAACGAGTTCTAATGAAATTTTGGGAATTAATTGGAACAAACTCATGTATGGCTAGTAAAATTTTCCCGAAAATGACTCCAGTACGTGCGCAAATAAGTTTAAAAGTGAATGTTTTTTGGGACATACCCTGTACAGAAGAGAGCAGCATTGTCTTCTATGTTCGAGATATGCAATGGACGACATCTGCAACGGACGGCATGTACAGCGGACGACATATGCAAACGTGTCTGCGGTCTTTCTCCGCTTACAATTCCTTTTTTGTTTCAGAAAGTAAATATTGCCGTCCTTCGATTTTCCAGAGGGTTCTTTGGCTTCTCAAGGTTTCCATCGTTTCTCTACGATTTGAAAGCTTACATATTAAAACTTTTTTGTAAAGGGTCGCGTTCTCAAAACTGTTCTGACATAAGGGCCCTGCCTTCTCCGTCGCATACAGGAAAAGCCGCGTCTGACACGAGCACGGCTGTGATCCGGGCTCACCAGCTGTCATAACAAAACACGGTTAACACTCGAGTAATCGGCATCTGGCGAGCTTAGTTTGTGCGGTCTAATACACGGGATATTCTGGAACCAGGTAACGCACCTGGGTACATGGCAGGTACTGTCGTTTAGAAAGCATGTGTCACGATCACGAATACATAGTCGTCCTTTTCTATATGTCGAGGGAATTGCCTCAATCGATGAGACAATTATGACAGCATTTTTGATGCAATCACAGTCGCTCTTGTAGGGAAACTTAGCAGGAACGCCATCAAGAAAGTATGGGGTAAAATAGTGCAAATACCATGTGTGTATATTATATATTCGCTGAATTTTCTTTGTGGAAATTATTTATTTCATATTCGATGAGGCCAGGGATTCAGGAAAGCGAGAGAGAATGAATTTAAAATTTCCGAAAATTTGCAGAAGTAAATTTTTACGAGGACCGTAAGCCGCTCATTCCAATATTGGGATTAAGAAGTTAAAGGCCTGCCACGTCTCACTCAGAAATTTGGAAACTCAATCGCATTCATCGACATGCATATCTCCAGAACGTTTTCAAGGGTTTCCATGGGAACTGCTGAGAAATTAAAAATGTGTAAATCTCGACTTTTAGACTACGGCGTGGCAATGAAAGTGATTATCGAAAATTCGATTGAGGTCGTACAACATGGATGGGCCTTCTCTCGGTACTTGGGAGGGCTCACTCTTACAGCTGGAATGAAAGTTTCCTACATTCGTGGATGAAAGGTCACCATTTCCTCATACTTCTTCCGTAAATGAAGGAGCAACTTATCTTTGGAGATTAGATTAGACGAGAAGCCGGGACGACGTCGACGCCTCTTGGAGAGGCTGAAGCGTCCCCAAGGGCGAGTGGGCGGGGGACGCCCCCGCGCGGAAGCACGCCATCTCTCCCGACCTGAAGCGCGAATGCTTGCTCGCACTGATGATGCGAAGAGCGCGTCGGGGGAATGTGCCTGGAGATGCCATGCGGCATGCATGGAACGTTTTCGCTCCAGTTCGAGCATTGTATAGCTGAGGAATGCCTCTTTTTTTATACTCTATACGATTTGGAGGCTTAAAAAAACGGGACTGACAGAACGTGGCCTCCTGACGAAGACTGGAGCAGATGCATACCATGAATTTCCTGGTGGCCATAAATATATATATTCTAGCGAGTTTGTTTGTGAACAACCTCGCTATAGCCGCGCCTTCGGCGCTCTATAGTCAGAGGAAATTACCCATGCATTGATAGCATTCGTTTTCGAACCTCATTTCTAATAATGCGGTGAAACTCTCGATGAATAGGCTTGGCATTTCTCGCACCTTCGACGGTGACACGCAAAAATCAAATTCATTTTAGAACATATTAAATGTGACATTATGCGAGTATAACTACCAGCCTCAGGATCACCAGGGAACAATTGACTGTACGTCGTTTAGTGTATATATTGTGAATTTAATTCCTGCCTCTTGCCTTACTGCCCAAAAACTTATTGTGTATATATCTTCAAAATATGTATGACCAGACAGCACAATACTTAAGCGTTTAAACGCAAATTATTATTATTTGTTCTTTATGAAGACTGCTTCGGGAGTTTCATCTTAATATTCATATTTATACTTGGGCACAAGTACTCTAATGAAGTTATTTTTTCGAACTTACCTGAATGTTAGATTCAGTTGTTCCCGAAAAAATACGTAATTTCGTAAATGCAGTCCATATCTATTAATGTCCCCGTTTCGCTGAAGGAAATGTGTGCATAGAAATGGCATTGGCCTCAGCCAAGTAGCTTTGGGCATAGCAACATTAAATCGCAATCTCGAGGGAAAACCTTCCTGAAACCCGGCAGGAGGTACATGCCTGAAATTTGGCCTAATGATTTAAGGGATGATAGTATTCGGAAGTTCGGTTCGTACACTAGTAATAGCAGCTGCCCCACTCCCCTAAAATTTGGAGTTTTGGATACCAAAGCACCCCAAAGATCCACTCATGCGCTGGAAAAGTTTCCCAAATTTAGATACGAACTTGGATGTACGGCTTCTTCGTCCACGAATATACTCAGAGGCTATATACGTTTCTTTGTATAGTCACGAAGGCTCCTCAAACAAATTGGTCGATAAATTCAGTCGAAAAATAGGAAGACGTTGTGGGAAAAACCGACTACCTACTGACGAACCTAGCATAAAACTGGAAGGCCTTAAGCGTGCACAAGAAACGGAACATCAGCGTGTTGTACTTTTCTCCAGACCTCTATCGTGTGAAAGCCGTCATCAACTTGGAAGGATTTACAAAGTCGACGGATGAGCTTGGAGTTACTCAGCTGACGTCACTCAGCTTGGAAAAACCGAGAGAGAAGAACTTTCCGGACACACTTTCCTGAAATATGGGCTTTTTCCTGTATCGGGATGACGTAGAGGACAAAGAGGAAATTGTGCTCTATCGCACACGTGGTATTTTTCTCGTCACAGAATGCACCTGCACAAATGGCCAAAACGCCCATTCCAGAACTCTTTTTCCATGGTTAGGAACATGGGTATAAATTTACGAGTCTTGATGAGCCACGACATCAGATCGGTCCTACGGCACAAACGACGATCTCGGAATGGAGATGTCTCTCATCACAGTCTTCCTCTCGCTTTTGCTCCTCGCCAATGTCCAGGTCACATCCCTTTCCATAAATGTCGGATCGGGGAAAGGAGTCCTCCCGATACGTCAACGTTTCGACGCTTCTCTCTGTTTCCGCAGGGCGAAGAGGTCGATGTTGAGGATTTACGAACGTTCCTGACTTCGATAAAGATGCTGCCAGGTATTCCAGGTCTCCACCGTCAATACTCGTTTTGATATCCTGATCATCTTAACCAAGTTTCTGTCGCAGGGAAGCGGCAGACCCCGTCGTGTGGAACCAGTGTGAGCCTCGCTCAAGGAACGTCCTATCCTCTCATCAGCCAGAACTTCCCTCAAAACCACCCGTTCTTACACTTTTGCAGCTGGAGTTACACGGTACGTTCCTTCACTCTGCATGTTCACGTCTTCTCGTCACATGCCTTATACGTCACATCATGCTTCAATGCAGTGTCCCACTGCGATGACGCTCCAATGCTCTTCTTTCCAACTTGCATCCAGCGCCCAATGTTGGCAGTCTGCCTTCATCTATAATAACAATCAGTAAGAGATGCAATGCAAGAATTTTGGACGCATGCTCAAAAAACTATTCGACTGACATCAAAACGCTTTCATTTTCAGCCTATGTGGATCAGCAACCAACCTTCTGAATCCGGTTAATGTGGGGACGTCCCTGAGCGTGATCCTCTATGCCATCATGACGAGTGGACCAGGATTCAAATGCACCGTTACTTGTGGTCAGTTCATCAAAGCATCTAGAGATGGCGGGTTTTAACGGAATTGATCCGACAGGATTTAAGATTCTTGCACGGCGATTCGGGTAGCCATTAGCCGCTCAAATGTGCTTCAATAGCGCGAAAAATACTTCGAGATTGATCATTAGATTTGATTAATACGATGCTTCTGCAATGTAACGTAACTCTTCTTTCTGCCAAAGTCATGTTAAGTATCTCAAGTTGCTTTTCTTTATACTTTCCAGGTACCGTCCCGACGACGACTACGACAACGCCACGACCTCCTTGTAGTATGTATAGATACAGATGACTATCGCACTAAATCGCTATTCAATCAAAACCGGTTTAAATCATATTCGTAACGCGATTGCCCCATGCGACATCATACCCTAGATTGCGGGATTTCCCGAAGCAGCAAGAGGACTGAGAATCAAGTTAGAGCCGATCCATTCGCAAATCTAACACAGACAGATTTGGACCGAATCATCGGCGGTACTCCCGTTCCCAATCAGGGAAAATATCCCTGGATGGCATGGATGGGGAGTGGCCCAGGGGTGTTCAACTGCGGAGGAGCCCTCATCAACGATCGATATGTCCTCACCGCTGCTCACTGCATCGGCTCGAAGTGAGTTCTTTAGCATAATGACGTCCAACCCAGGATTTCTCTCACATACAAATACTGTATACTCGTACATAGACTTCTTTGAGGGAAGAGGAGATAATGACCTCTCTGGAAAAAAGGGAGTCAGTGCACATACGTCCTTTATTCCAGATCTTTACTAATAGCTTAGGACTTTCATAATGGGATTGCGTGATCTTGAGGTGGTTCCGATGTGGCACTAAGACGGGAGGAGTGATGATCTCCATGCTCTCGCCGGATGACGGGCAGGCGTCCTGCGGTTTCGCTCAAGCCTCTTATAGGAAGGAAAGGATAAGGAGGATATGAAGATCTTCGAAGCGTATGAAGGGGCGCCTGAAGAATAAGAAAACAGGCGACATGTCGTAATTGTGTGAGAAAGTCGGGAATCGTGAAGCTTGTTTCGATTCACCCCTTCTTCCTCGTTTTCCTTTGAAGGTTCTTTAAAAATAGAGGGAGGCATTCATTCAGAGGCAAGCTGACATATTAACAAATGAGAAATTACTGCAGGCTGCAAATGGCCGAAGAAGATCAAAGAATGCAGATATGGAAAAGGAGCGTAAGTTCGTAAACAGTCTGCCTGAATCTGAAAACAACTTGGTAGAAGAAAACATCGTTTTTTCCAAAAGTTTACATAACAAGAAGCTTAGGATACCATATCACCGAAAAACGAATTCGGAACAGTCGCAGATGAGCTCTGAGGCGATTTTGCTTTTTTTTTCTGTTGTGTCCTTTTCCACATATGCCCTTCTCAATTCTTACAGCAACTCAACAGCGACCTTCTACGTGAACCTAGGAGACCTGGACAGGTCGAGTACAACCGAAAGCGTGTCCATACAAATTCCAGCCACTGCCATCGTCTATCCGACATGGGATCCTAATGTTTTCTATCGGAATGACATCGCCCTGTTGAAACTTCAAACTCCGGTGGACTTCCAGAAATACCCGCACATCCGTCCCGTTTGTCTCTCCTCGAGCATTTTCCCAGCTGCAGGAGCGACAGTCGCGATTGTAGGATGGGGCCGACTGGCTTTCGGTGAGTGATCCTAGCGATACCTGTTCGCATAGATGGATTTGTAAGCAAAGAAAGTAGGATGTGATGAGAATTTGTCGACGCTTGCCTTGCATAGAATAGTTTACAAATTACGTGTGCACCTCTTCTCCTTTCGAGATTGAGATGAAATGCCTATTAAGAGCGGTATTGGACAGAGCCAAAATTTTCAACGTTGTCCACAAATTGTATTTTACTTAAGAATACTCCATGCTAACTCTAATCACGTGATCATTTATTTTTTTTTCACTAGGACTGTCAATCTACTTCAAAATGTGATCGATTAATCGGTCGATTAATCGATCCCATGGTTTCTCTTTGAATCATGTCCTATGCGAGCATCAGGAAGCGTCTCAAGGCGATGCAGTAGCTAACATAGTATCAATAGTTACTATCTGTACATACTCTAGTTCATCCTTCAAGTGGCACATTCCAGTCGGAAAGAAAATAGTTACAACTTAGCCTGATGAATAATGTAACGTGAGCAAGGAAGCGCACTGAGGCCCTTCGCCATTTAACCAACCCATAACGGAAGGATGCAAAAACTTGATGTAAATGATTGAATGTATATAGTGACACATCATTGCTAGGAGATTTAAAGATTCATTCGCCATTTACGGGCAACGTATGATGGAAGAGGAAAAATAGGAGTAAACAGGAGATGGTCTCACATTTTCGTTTCAACTTCTCCAGCCTGCCCTCGGCTTTCCCCCCCCCCCTCCCCTCGGTTACTTTCCCGATGGAGAGGGGGCGCTCCCACAGAAGTTCACACGTAGGCCTCTCACTTTCCAGTTTTTTTTCTTCATAATCATCTTTCCCGCCTATCCAGTTCCATGTTCCTGCCCAACTCACCTCTTCCTTCTGTACTTTCCCTAGCAGTTTCATCAAAACAACTTTCTTTCCACATCCGCATCCAATGACATTTCGGTCGCTCTGCCCTCGGCCGCTGTTACCTTAGCCTGACACGCGAGGCCTAGAAGGCTATACCTTTAAAGGCCGTGTGCTAGGCAGGACACGGGATGAGTACCAGTACGGATATGGATTCGAAGGAGTCAGGAAGCTTTTTTTGCTTGAATTGTCTGAAAGCGATGGTGTTGACTTTGTGTATTCTCTTTTTCCAAAAATCGTTGTCGTTTTTGTTGTTTTTGAAAAATGTCGTTTTTGGCGAAGAGTGAGCAGTGCGAAAAGGGCTACCTTATTATTCAAAGATCTCAAATGTATCAAGTCTGAAGAACCCATTACGTTAGGTCTTTTTCTACATGGTTCAAAACTCCAAGTCTTTTACAACATATTCCTTTAGAGCTATGCCTCCCAAGAACAGTCTTAGGTAATAGACAGTCCAGGATGGTAACCGGTGCTTGGATCCTCCAGGTGGAAACCTCCCAACTACTCTGATGGAAACGACCGTGAAACTCTTGAATGATACAACTTGCAGTAACACTTGGGGCTCGGTGGTCGATAGTAACGTCATCTGCGCACAGGAGACTGGCAAGAACACCTGCAATGTGAGCAATGGCTTTTTTAAATTACCAATTTGAATCCCGTGATGTTGGAATTTCTGTTAATTTTTCTCGGTAGGGGGATTCCGGCGGCCCACTGTTGTACAGAACCCCCGCCGGTTATTTCCTCGAGATCGGGGTCACGTCCTTCGGAAGCAACTGTCGAGTCGAGTTCGGCGGCGGGTTCACCAAAACGACAAGTTAGCGGTCGATGAAGTCGATCTATGGATCTCTCGCTCGCATGTGTTCCCTGAGTGCGTTTTCCTTCGTTGCAGATTACGTGAACAGCTTCATCCGGAGCAACACCCTGGATGCCGTATGGTGTCCGGCACCCTGATTGATTTCGTATATTCTTTGTTTCATCAGCAAGNATGAAGTCGATCTATGGATCTCTCGCTCGCATGTGTTCCCTGAGTGCGTTTTCCTTCGTTGCAGATTACGTGAACAGCTTCATCCGGAGCAACACCCTGGATGCCGTATGGTGTCCGGCACCCTGATTGATTTCGTATATTCTTTGTTTCATCAGCAAGTTTCGCTTGCCTCGGAGCGACTCTGCAGTTTTTCTGCTAATATGCTGAATAAAGAACTTCTCTGAACTGCAAACGCACCGCATTTTACTATTTTCAATTTTCTACATTTTCGTAATGACACTGAGGAAGTTTCATGTACAGATAGTAAGACGCTTAATATTCTTGTTTTATAGTTAATGTAATTCCGTTGTACCTATAGGTAACCATGAGAAAATAATTAGGGAATAGAACAATTTCAGTGGGTTGGATCCGTGTGGTCACGAATACTGATCAAGATGAGCATGAAGAACTTCGTGAAACATCTCGACATTGACCCTGCTGAAACCAGATGGAGAAGGAGCCAAGAAAAACGAAGGCTGGACGTCACTCCATGGATCTTTATGCTCGTCCCGAAGGATAAAACTTGCTTTTTCTTTGAGGGATCTCCTTGAGTCACATCCAGGGATCTCATGGAGTCACATCCACGCATACAATTTCTACTCCCCGTTTCAGGGCCCAGAATTACCCGGGGTCTCTTTATGTTGGAAACGACGAAAAAATTCACCGTTTACCGTCTTGTTTCGCATTGTATCGGAATTCATGTAACTTCATCGGTTTCGTCAGTGGATAAATTTGCAAGTTCCGTTGCATATATGAAGAAACTCCACGTGTGGACGATTTCTCTTCACCTCATGGCAAGGTTAGAAAATTGTATTAATTCCAATTTTCTACTGGATGTCTTGCTTGAGATATGTGGAAGTAATGTTGATCGGACAATGTTCTCGCAATGTTTATATTTTCAACATCGTGTCAAAGTTATCGATGCGTTGCATCATCAGCATCAATATCACCAACATCGCATCGTTAGGTCAATATTTTTTAATGAAACTGTAATGGCTAAATAATGAGAATTCAGCGCCAAAACAGATCTTCATAGGACACTTGCCCCTTGCCCTGAAAGGACCTCAGTCATGGTTTGGTCATTTCCTCTCCATGTTAATCCCGAACATCTTCGATTAAACTCCTCCGCCGTTTCCAATCCTACCAAAACCTACTGCGCATGCGCAGATTTCAGCCTGGGTCACGGTGCCAGGGTCCTTTCAAATTCAGTTGTTTGCTTTGCTCGATATTTGTATAGTGCTTGGGAAACCTATCGCTTCGCCGTTATCTCCTAAAGCAAACTTTTCATCTTCGCCTATCCCAAGTGGTTTTTCAGTAACACCGCTGGCAGGAAAACCTTGACGGCATCGCAGGTGTGCATCTGACTAATGGTTCTGCTTTCGCTTCGATTCCATTGGTGCCAGGCGAACATCAATTCCGCAATTCGGCCCTGTTCTCCCGCGTTTGGTCTAAGCAAACAATGAATGGGAATGCATGGCAGAGGGCGCTGAGATCAGGGTTTCTCGTCGAAACCAGCCTTCTCTCAATCGGAGGCAGTACCAGTTCAACTATATTGCATATTAAGGGGCTAGATCTGCAACCAAAAATATTAATTGGTCGTATCATAAAAATGCCCATTACTTATTTCTACTTGAAGCGTTTCAATATCACGAATATCAACATAACAATTGACGTAACAGCAATGGGGCTCCAAATGGTCTTCGACGAAGATAAACTAGAGGGAACAATGAAAGAGGTGGACGCTCGGATCGGGATCGGAGTGTTGAGAGGAATGAGGTTTCTTTCGGTATTCCATCATCAATGGAGGTCGCACGTTGTCTGGAGGTTGCATGCAGCGCTTGGATTCACGCCATGGGGAGGGTAGCGCTCTGTTCGGGAGGAATGCGTGAGCGGTTTAAGGGGGCAAGGTCATGGTGAAAGAGGGGTGAGGACCTCCGTTAGAACATGATCTCTCTACACCCCGACGCTAGAAGTGATTCATGGCACTTTGTGTAAAACATTCATGAATATGTTTTCCAATCATAAGGAATCGTGTGTAGTACAAAATCACGTTAGCTGTTTCGGCGAGAAGGTCCAAAAGCTTATCTAGAAGAGCAATCTTATCGTCAAGGTATCTATATAGGAAGGGCGTACCAAAAGAATCGAGACACTGTCTACAGTTTTCTTAATGTGTTTGCCACGAAAATCTAATCCAGTTTCCTTCAATGTGTAACAAATACGCAATGCACACTCCGAAGTACAAGTTGCTCGCTCCGATGATTAACAAAATGCAGGCAGTGAAAGGAACACATGCACCGGAAATAAAAGACGCGAAAACACATTCAGTAATTTTGTGGATCATCATGAACCTTCTCCACGTTTTCCCCTTTGAGGTGGATGCATTCCTGCCACCGCGATTCGCACTTGTGGATTGACGGCCTGAAACAATCCTTGCTGATCCTGTTCAGCACCGTCTTCGTTTCTTCTGAAGGACTCCATAATGCATGAGTACGCAGATCTGCTTCATTCCTAATTTAAAAGTTTTAGAATGCGTCGGTGGCGATCTCCGGAGGTGTATCGCTTTTCGCATTGGAACAGTCCGGTCCTTGCACCTTGGCAACCTTGCACCTGGCAACCTTGCACCTTGGCAACCTATATGGAGGTACAGGGATCTCGCATTTCTCACAATACACAAAAGAGCCCCCCCCCTTTATCCATAGAATCATCTCTCACAGGAGTGTTTTGTACCTCCCCGTATGTTTCACCTTGCCTCAATGTAGCAATCAAGAAACTTCGACATTTCCTTATTTGCCATCCCCATATTCCAGATAGAATGTTGGAGTCCAAGCCAGAAATAAGCTCATATTTCCTATGAGAACCACGTACGAGAAAAAGTACATCTTATCCGAAAGGAGTTTCAGTGAAGAGACGGTCTTCGCTGGTTCCGTCTCCCATTTCCTTAAGCTGGGAGAAGAATGATTCTTCCCTATCGAAGAAAACGGACGCCCTATTCTGTTCATTCTAGCGACATATGTGCGCATGGGCAGTGCAAGTATTAGAAATGGAAACGCCCTACCGTAGGAAACCTCTACTCGGCAATTAATTTACACAAAAATGCTGCGCCAATATTGACTCCGGCCGGCACTCCTGTTGTAATTCCAGGGTTTCGAAACACAAAAATCCTCCCCGAATCCTATGTCAGGAGTCCTATACGACCCTATAGGGATCCTAAAGGATCCTATAGGTTTTTCACGTTTCAAAAACCTATAGGGTATAAGTCTATACTTTTCCAATGAGAAAAATATATAGGCTTCCTAATGACATGTCCGTAAGGGAATCGCTCTGAAACTCCGATTGCACCAGACAATTTCCAATTCTGGTGATTGCCGGGATGATTGCCACTGACGAGCAGCCACACAATGCCACACCCTATTACCCTTACACCTTTCCATCTAACCTTTGCATGCTACCTCTTTGTTACTTTGTGTCTATGCAATGAATATTTACCCTACCTTGTGCAGTTTTCTATCTTCGTAGATATTTTGATGCATTCGAGTGCAAAGCATATGAAAACTCAAATACTCCGACACCGCTCTAAAGGAGTATTAAAGGACAGAAGCCCACTTCCTCCATTCCCTTTCCCAGCTGATAGCCATCGGGAACTTCGATATTCTATTCCGTATTTATTCGTCAGACCAATATTCCAAAGAAAGGGCCCCGCCGTGCAAGTGCGACGGTCGTTATTTTGCGTTATTTCTGCATCGAAATAACACAGCGACGAAACGAACTTGCGACGTTTCGGCTGCGACGAAAGTGCCGGCAGCAGATCGACAACGGGACGAAATTTTCCAAGGCCTGAGTAGTCCATAACATTTACTCACGTTTCATCCTTAGTCCTTCCAAGTAATTTCAGGACGAACTTCTGATCTGATTGCACGTAACTGCAGCAACCAATATTTTGCTATTTAAACCTGAATTATTGCCGTGCAATGCAGGAAAATGAATGATTCGTTGCTACAGTAAATTCAAGACGTAAGAAGAGAGACTTCGTAAAACAATGTGATGCTCCTCGCTCACTAAATCAATAAAATGTCCCAAAATCGATTATTTCATAGTTTTCTTTGAAAGTGCATTGGCCCAGTTTCGTCATTTGAACTCCAGTAAAGTGAGTCTCTTGGAAGTTCGATGTACACAGAAGAAACAAAGAAAAAAGTTATCCCAGAACACAAGGAAAACTTTTTACCGGTCTTATTATGCAGAATCTTAAGTTTTTGATTGCCCACATGGTTCAGACATTAGGCCTTATACTAAAATAGTGTAATGGGAATGCTTGCAACTGAAGTATCATCATGGACGTGAAGCACTAGAATTGTGGTGACGCCTCAATTCCTCCTGGAAAACAAAGTCGTGCGATATTAACAGGATCTGAAGAGAGCCACAACTGGAGAAAATGCATGTGCCCCTAATTAGCTTTCGATGAAATTACTCTATGTTAACCGCGTCCATTTGCCTTTTGCACATGTATGATGATATTTAATTCCACCCTTTCTCAATTATCTTTCAAATCTACATTCTATCTATGTAGGAATTTACATTTTCATATTCACCAAATCTACGAGGATCCTTCAGAAAGTAACGACAATTCTTTTCTAAGTCGTTCCCGTGAGCCAAAGACCTAGGAAACCGCATACTTCGCACGAAGACTGATCATTTTCACTCAAAATACGCGCTTTAGTTGGAGCAAATGTCGCTGGTGACCCCAAATCAACATGGCGAGTATACCCTGTTTGCACCAATGACCGACGAGAGTGCTGCTGTGCACTGATCGACTGTCATTAACAGCACTCGTTCGTCCGTTTCGGAACCTTGCTGTAACCTGGGGACGAAAGGCAGGCGAAGGTTGGATGGCAAGAGAGGACGAAAGAAAGACAGGGGACGGCCGGATCTCCAGATTGTTGGTTAAATACTGTATACTACCGTTACACCACCGAACCTGGGGCATTCCGTCGTATCTCACAATGCCTTCCTTATCACCGCATTTCTATCCACTCTTATAATTTTCGTTGTCAAACACTCAGCGCATTGAGCAAACATTCCTTCAGGTGGTTTATTTGGTTAGCATCTGTTGGTTTATTTCCTGCCTAAACGGATAACACGGTTCCTTTTTCCTTTATGCACGCAGACAGTATACATGTAAATTCCAAGGAGAATTATCACAAATAAATATTCCTTGTTATCAAACGCTGCATTGTTCATGAACACTGAACTTCACGAGTGCACCTCATTCACATATCCTACACCACGCAAAAATCCCGCCTTTTGGCCTGAAATTAGCAGTTTGGAGGGCGTTCAGTCACTTGCTCCCACATAAGCTAAGGTTACTCTCAAGCGCTGTTATAGGTGGGCGTCGCTGAAACTATGACAATGGAACCAGCTGATTTCATAACAAGTGTAAAACGTCATTTCATCATCTTGTAGCGGGAATATGGATTTTTGGAGCTGGCCCTCCACTGTCTAATATTTGATGCGAGTCAAAATGTGCGGTTTAGTGTCGGCCACACGGTGTAATGGAAAATAAACTTAACCTTTAGCCATTCATGAGTCGCTTATTATGATTAGAAAAAAATTTTATCAATTGGAAATAATAAAATCCAAGCTTAAAAAGAAAGTCCAGAAAGCTTTAGAATTTCGTCTTAACGATATTGACCGGAAGCATACAATTTAGTTTACATAGTTCACTTTCAGAACTCCATTTCGGTCTTCCTGGAGATTTCGAGGTTGCCCATAACGAGGGCATATCCAGCCACTCGATGATAACAGGATTTGAAGCACTCTCATGAATGAGAGGGTCTGAGTGTTTCGTGTTCTCACTTTCCTGTTATTTCCTTCATTGGATAAAGAAAAATGTAGGCCAACGAGGAAAATCAAATTAAACATTTGATAAAATCTTTAATTTGAATGACGATTATTTAATTCTGAGTTGTATTTTTTTGCACTGAGGAAGGAATATTTGTACTCATTCTTTTATTCTTTAATTTCTTGGGAGGTCATATTCATCTGAATGGATTTGACGTTTTCGCTACATATTTTGAAGATAAAGAACGAATTTATTCTAAGTCCCAATATGAATGACATGGAAATGTTATCCTAACCTATGTTTTAAACTTGCTCAGATGTGGGGAAAAAACGTTTAGGTTTCGTTAAGGACCCCCACCTGAAATATCCAACTATGATTAAATTCGGTTTAAGGGGTGAAACTGGGGAAAATCCTTCATATCCCATTGCAGAATTGAGTTTCCCACATTAAAAAGGAAAACGGTTCATCGGGACAAGTTTCACCCAATGAGGGAGATACATCATTGCGTACTATGGAATTAGCATTTTAAAAATCATCTTCCTATACTCAGCGGTTTGAATGCTAAAGCGCAAAAAGTCATGCGTATGACGAAATGGAACTTTCTGTGATAGTCTATTTCTCTTTTCGCAGGCGTTATATGTTGCATTATTTAGATGTGATATAACTTTTCCAACATTATACAGGCAGTCCACTTCGGAAGTCATCCCAATCCGGAATTATTTAGGTCTGTTGAAATTTTGTTGAACGCGAATCGGATCCCGCGCACGCGGGTGCGATTTATCCACTGAGCTAAGAAATAGAACTGGAGATGGCGCGGCCATAGGAGTAGCATAGGGAAAACGGGTGCATTTTGAAGCCATATTGGTTGGGTCTAGGCTAAAGCGGGCCTGCGGTGAGCATTGGAAGGTACCGCGGGAACACTGGAGCAGCCCTTCTGAATACTCCAGCGTGCCCTGCCAATACCCGCCAACACCTCTACCATGCACCTCGTGGTCGCCCTTCGTTTCCTTTAGCCTATGTTTACCTTCGAACGTTCATTCGAAGTTCACTCGAACTTGACTTTATGCCTTAGACTTGCTGTAAAATATGTCGACTGTGATGATGCAAGGGCGGCGTAACATTATCGCCTTAGTAGGCCCAGCAATCTCAGCAAAGGCAGGCCTGGAACTCGGAGGCCCACTCGAGAAATAGGAGACTCGCCCACATGAAAGAAGAGTTTCGACATGATCAGTCCTATGATACTCCCCCAGAATTATTAGGCCTCCAGTACCATGACTGCCTGCCACCATGATCACGACAGCAAGAAAACTAGGACGCGAAATTATGAAAATCTCATTGTAGTGAATGGAGAAGAGCCTCCACGGACCCAACTAAGATGGCTTCCAATTGCCCGAAATCCATTGTATTGTGCGCCATCTCCAGTTCTATTTCTTAGCTCAGTGGATTTATCCATATAATAGTCGACGTCTTCCGTCTGTTCGCCTGTCTGTCTGTCTGTCAACTGGAGGCCTGCACGGGTCGACTTTTTTGACTCGATTGCCACGATTCGAATCGTGGTCCTACTCGACCCGAAGCTTGATCGCAGGGCCGACCTTTACCGACTCTACCTGCGGGTCGAGTCGGGCCGATCGGGCCGACTCCCTGCTCGCTTTGGCTTTTAAGCCTCAAAACTTGGGGTCCCTGATTTCGTTATATTTTTTTAGGCGGCTCTGTTGGCTTTGCTGACGCTTCCAGCTATCCGCTGAATTCGTGCTGCCCTGTTCAGTGCTCTCATAGGTCACTACGTTCCGCTAGCAGCTTTAAGCGATTGGAGAAAAAGCGTCTCTCGCTCTGAAAGCGTATTCGTCTGCACAAAGCAAGAAACTTGATTGCCAACCGAGTTGCCGCCTGATCCGCGGGGCGGATCTATTCAATAGGGTTCATCCGCATCCCGTGTATCCCCCAGAATCATACCTTTATTCAATGCCCAGGTGTTCGAACTTTAAACTACCGGTACATGTCTCACTTGAATGCTCGAAGGCGGAACGTGCTGAGACTTTCCAAACAATCACTTGATGTTTCCCTGATGACGTAAGGCATCTCTTATTATTGATCGAAAGCGTGGCACTTTGAAATTCGGACGTTATCCCTTTACTAGCTGTATTTTCCCCTGCTAATTAAAAATTAACCCTGAGTTTTTAATGAATTTTGACATTTTGTTATCCTCGAAGCGGATCCCGCGATACGCGAGTGTAATCTAGTTCATAAATATTGCGGATTAAGATGCCATAAATGCTTATATGTCTGCAGGGCTAACCACATAAATTATAACAATATTACATTTTTACTGTTGCTTAATCCAAATCTGAAGAAAATAATAATAGCCATGTTCGCACGGTTCTCTCTCGTCCAAAAAGTTGTAATATTTTTGCAAGATACTGTCACAATTGCAAGGGTTCCCCTTGGGAGAGGAGCAACATGCTCAGTATAGGGTGGGTGATGCAAATTCCAACCCTGCTATAAATTCCGCCCCACCACCCTTATTTCAACTCGATCAGAAGTACAAGCAGACATTTCCTACACAATTACTCAAGTGTTTGATCCCTAAAAGTGAATGGGCGTGACATGCATTTTCTTTCGATTAGCATAGATCGCAAAAAGATGAATATTAAGCCGTTGGTGAAGGGGCGGAATTTGAGCTGAAGGGGGTCGGAATTTGCATCCCCTACCCTGTATTCTACTGTATATCTTCATATTTTGTAACGTGGTCATCCTCACGTTATCGAAGAGGACGGACTTCGATAAGGCTCATGGCTAGGAGGGGCTCGCAGAAGCGTTTTCTGAATTCGGTTAAAAGGCAGTGGTGCAGAGAATTTTTCTCAGTCCTTATCAGCAGAGAGGGAAAAGGCCACCATAGTATATTTTCAAGTGGGAGCGCTCCGCATCGAGACCTCAAGGTAGGAAACGGTCTTGCCGATTAAGGAATCTGCTAGTGCTTCTTGCATATAGTTCGAGTATTCAAGAAAATTCCAAAGGCAAGTATAAAGAACGTTCCAACTGAGTTTGCTGACAAGGTTTAAAATTCTTTAGGTCAAGGGAATAATTTCTGGGACCACCTGCCCTGACGACAAGCCAATTTGTATTGATATTGTCATTCCAAAGTTACTTGTACATTATCCACAAAAACTAGTCCAACGGACACTGAGTGACCCATAAACGATGAAAAATTGCGAAAAAAAGTATCCAAATTGACGCAATTGATCAATATGGACTCATGGGCTCAGCCAGTTAATTCAAGAGTGCCCCTGGTTCATTAAAGTTGATATATTATGGCCCTTAGTACAATGTTAGCGACAATGGTTCAATTTTTATCTCCTAAAGTGTATTTGAGCTATAACTCATACGAGGGTTGATCCAATAGTTTCTGTCCTAAGATATAAGGGAACGTGACAGACTGTTGAAAAAAATTTTATTTTTCACTACCTCCCTGGAGATGAAGCTAGTGCGAATGCTGGAACAGTGCTTCAAATTTTTTAAATATAAAAATTCATTTTCCACCGCCAAATAAAAATGCTGAAATTGGTTCACCAAAAGGACACCATTGTCAGTTTCACCTACATAGCCACTTCACATCATGTTTTGCTTCAAATGTTTATTATTGAATGATCAATTGTATCGGGATGATTACATGTATACCATATGAATAGTTTAAATCTAATATATATAGACGATCGTGACTGACTGACGCTATTTCTAACCATGTTCTAGAAGGGTTAGAAATTTTGGGATGCAGAGTTCAGAAAAAGTCAAATTTTGGAGGTACATGCCCTGGGGGTACACATTTTGGGGGGAAACGTTTTCTTAAATATATTTTGTGACAGATGAGGAGGGCATTCAGAGAATACTGGCTGTCCTGGGTTCGGTGGTGTAGTGATAGCATATATGACAGGCAATTAGGAGGTCCGGGTTCAATTCCTGACCATTTCTTGGCTTCCTTTTGACTTCTTTTGTCTTCCATGTTCAGTTACTCATTCCCCCTCCATAACATTACTTTTGCTTGAGTAAAACGGAGAGACATGGAAAGTTGAAACCTGGCATAAACGTGCCTACCGAGACGATGAGTTCAGGAAAAATGCGAAATTTTAGATTCATGAACTGGTGGAGTATTTTTTTGCCGAAGTTTTAAAGTATTTTTTTGTCCTTGCGTATTGAGCTAGTGTGGAAAGATGAAATTTGGTATATAACTACCTATAGCGATGCTGCAGAAAACCTTAGACTTTGGAAGCAAATGACCTTTGGGCACAAATTTCAAAGGGAGATGTTTGCAAATAATTTCTTTGCATTAGTTAAATTGATGATCATGGAAAGCTGAAACGTTGCATGAATGTGACTATTGCGATGAGGAAATAAAGAAAAATATTAAGTCTCGATACATCCCTTGGTGGAATGTTTTCAGGGAGCGATGTTTTAAAAAAAATTTTGGTCGGGGCGAATTGGACAGAAATGGAAAGGTGAAACTTCACACACGAAAAAGTGACATGATATTATTGAGCTAAGGAAGTATTCAGCCTTTAAGGTGCATCCTCTCCGGGCATAGCTTTTGGGTGGGATGGCTTTTCCAAACATATTTTTTCACCAGCGAAAAGGGCAAACCTATAAGATTGAAACTTTGTAGGAATGCAATTCACTGAGGATGGTTTTCGGTAAAAAAAAATTGTGCTTTCTGTTAAAATGGCTCAGGCCACATAATTTGAAAAATGCGAATTTTCCCGAATTTTCTGATCCAGCAAAACAGAGGGCGCATGAAAGTTTTAACTTGGCAAAGAAGTACCTAATGGATAGTTGAGTAAATAAAAATTATACTTTCATCATAAATAAAAGATCGTGAGTAGCTGACTGACTGGCATTATTAGCTATTCGCACGCTGAGTTCAAGAAAAGTTATACTTTGGTGATGCATGCCATAGGGGCACGCCTTTCGCGGAACTTATTTTCAATTATTTATATTTGCTTCAATCAAAAGGAGACAAATGGAAAGCTGAAACTTGGTAAGAACGTGACCGTTGACGCACTGAGCTCAAATGTCAAGGGTAAAATTTCCAAATTATTTTTGGGGTTTATATTTCTTGGGAACGTAACGGTTTCAAATAATTGTCCATATCCTACCGAAATGGGCAGAAATAGAAAAGTAGCTGGCGTACGCATCACGGACGTAAAGTTGATTTAAGGAAAAATTAAACTTTTGTTGGGCGTCTCCTCAGACCACAGCTTTTGTGTGGGTCGCTTTTCCAAATTCATTTTTTTCCGCCTGCAAAAAGCGGAAACATATGAGGCTGAAATTGGGTGGCATGGAGTTCTCTGAGTCTACATTTCAGAAGAAATGCATTTTTCGCTAAAACCCATCAGGGAACTTATTTTCAGTCCCATTTTCCTGAATATTTTTTGATCCAATGAAACATTGACAGAAAATGTAAAATTCCCTCAGAAGTAAATATTTGATAGCTGAGTACGGAAAAAATCCTACTTTCGAAATATGCCACATTAGCGTAGATTATATGAGGGAAGTATTTCAAAATGTATTCTGCACCCTTACAAAAAGGGATAAAATAAAAAAGTTCAAATTATGCACACTAGAAATCATAGAAGTAATGATTTTGATAAAAATCAAGAATTTCGTCCCTATATGTCACGTATTTCAACGGGGACGTACATTAAATACGTGTTTCCCATTTCGCAAAAAAATAATGAATTAATTAATAGCCAAGGTAATGGAGCGCCGAGGGCGCGAATACAAATGATAAATTTTCGAAATTCTAAAATTTGAATTGATAATTTCAATGACTTTTCATGTATTATATACATATAATTATTAAACATATGAATCCACCTAAAACCGATTGCTGGTCTTCTAAATTACTAAAAAGGATAAATGAAAATGATAACCAAATTTCAACTTTCACCGATCATTACTACTACTCCAGGGCAGAAACGTTTGGATCGCCCCTCGTATGTATAATTTGCCGGTTACACATTTGGTCTTTAGGAAATGTTAATTTGAGGGACAAATGCTTAGATAATATGATTATCACCATGCAGACGGCCATATCCCTTACACCCCCGTATGCCAAATAAGTAGTAACAGTCCACCCATTGCATGAGCATTCTTTATGACTCTCACGCGCACCTCTATTCAGGTTCTATTAGACAGGAATTGCCGTTACTTTTTGAGCGCACACTCTTATTTAATGCATTGTCTGGAGTATTGATAGGAAGTGGACCAAAAATACAATTTATCTTTAACGCTCCACAGCGTAGTTTCTGCAAAGTTTGAAAATATTGATAAAACGTCTTTATATAGAACGTTCCTATGCAATTATGCACAAAGAAACAGATGTAGCGCTTCTAAGGTGCACGTACCCTGCAAGACGTGCTCCAAGTGACGTCTATGCCTTCCTTTGCACATTCGCATTCTTATCAAGGCGTTCTTCACAATTCCAGCGCCATTTATTATCATCTTTATCTAACTTCATGGAAGTTATGCCACAAATTCAGTTGAAATTATCGGAAGGCAGAATGAATGTTCTATACGGAGGTGCTATTGCAAATTTGGGAAACACATACAGACCAGTGCTGTGGATTGATGAACATAATCGATGTTCTTTTGGCCTAACCTGTACATAGTTTAAATATTTCCATAAGCATAGATGTCAATTTATTTTCTAGCGGGTTTTCAATATTACCCATACTTCGTATTAAGACAACAGCCAACCCGACTTAATGATTCCACTGCACGTTCATTTTGAAGTGAAGAGGGGATAGATTCGGACATTCATTGTTAAACATGGAATGTACGATCTCATAATCCAGGGTGTAGCTAAAGGGCGAACAAGGGGAGTTAAAAATGTCGCCCATACCATAACACTGCACTATAAGCGAGCATCTGCATCAGTTTCTGAAAGTGTTCTTTGGGGCAATTGGATAATCCGGTGTAGAAGCCAACCTCTGAGTTGAGAAAAATGCTTAGATAATATGATCACCATGACGGCAGACGTCCATATACGCTACACCCCACGCATGCCAGATATGTAGTTTCTATCCATTGCATCCGCATTCTTTCTCACTCTCACACGCACCTTGATTCACTTTCAAGGAGAGGGAGCTTCGCATTGAACAGTGACGAAAGCGAAATGTTTCTTTATCTTGATCAATAGAGGAAAGAAGAGATTGGTGGATGTTGAAACGGAATCATAGTTGTGACATTGATAGCCCTGCGAAATGAAAGCTCTGCTGGTGATCTATACATTGTTGACCATTCTGCCATTCATCAACGGGCGTCTACGTGAGTTTAAATCATTAATTCTTACCAGAGTGACTGTGGATTTGTAAGATATATTTTTAAATGTCGGTATCAAAGGACAATTTTCCCATCGGTAAATATATTTTGGAGCGAAATTTAACCGATATTCTATTAATTGTTCCAACCTTTGTTAATACGCTTTTTGGTTGAAAAAAATCTGAAGAAAATCACTTGAAAAATTGCGTAGGAACACCTCATGCTTCATTAACGGCTATAAAATGATGTATCATTGATCCTCCTCTACATGTCACAGAGACCTGAACTCAATGTTGCATCACTTGACCACAGCTTAAACAGGAACAGTCAACTGGGGCAGCTAACATAAAAAAGTGATTCTCTAATTCCATGGCCGGACAGCGTTATATACGTGTATAGGCCATGCATGGTAGGCCCCTGCTAAAAATTCCGCCCCATGCCACTTATTTCCACTCAATCAGAAGTACAAGCGGACCTTTTTCAACCTAATTATGCAAATGTTTTATCCCTAAATGTGGATGGGCGGTGTATGCATTTTCCTCTCGATTGGCATAGATCTCAATTATCTCAAAATTATCTCAATTATCTCAAAAACTTTTTCAAATTGCTCAGATTTGAAAAAGTATTGTCACTTTATAGATAGGTTTGTCTAAGGACATCCTCTTGAAATATGCATATTTCTTTGAAAATTGTTTGAGGGCCAAGACTGGGCATGCTCCTCTCATTTTCTCAATACGTTCTAAGTATTGAGAATGTCCTATATAATGCGATATTTGAAAGAGGTAGAAAGTCTAATCGATTTTCTATATAAAAAAAGACTATTAATAAGAGAAAGAAATTATGTTTTTCGTCTTTTCACAAAGAAAAAACATGTATGTAAAATACCATGAGTTCCATAGTCGCTGAACATAGCGATTCTTCTATTTAAAAAGGAGGAAAGGCTAATTGATATCTGTTGCAAAAATTGCTGAGAAAAGTTATAGAGAAGAAAATTTTTTTCTTTTTACGTAGATAATTTTATATACGAGTGTAAGACAGAATGTAAGATTCCCCATTTTCTACCCGCCGAACCGTCAAACATATGGGGCTGTGCCACCGCATGTTGGTACCAAATAGTGTCACAAAGTGGCAGCAGTCACCAATGTTACACGCCCGTGCTCTGAGGCGCAGAGTCGCAGAGAACATGTCGAAGGTACTGCTCGTATATACGAAGCCGGAGATCCGAACAATAATTCGGTTTTTGTGGGCACAGAAGACTCAACCGGTGGAAATCCACCAACACCTGTGGCTGTGTACGGCACAGATGTCATGGCAATTTCAACATGTAAGGAAATGGTGCCGAAAGTTCGAAAATGGTACGTGTGACTGTAGTGGATGAGGACAGAAGTGGACGCCCATCGACATCATCCGATGTAGTCAATCAGATCGATGCAGCAATTCGAGCAGACGGACGTGTGTGACTTCAGAACTTCCAGCACACTTTCAACTTTTCACTTGGCTGTTTCTGGCACATTGCCCACGACCGTCTACGCTATGGGAAAATTTGCAGCATATGGTGTCGAAGCAATTGTTCGACGGCAACAAGCAGGGACGTATGGCAGTATCGCTCGAGAACCTTGAGCGATACGCTGAAGAAGGCGACGACGCATATTCACCAGCTATGAGACATGGGTGCACAACTATACTCCAGAGACGAAGATGAAATCAATGACATGGAAGCACCCCAGTTCCCGTCAGAAAGAATTTCAAGAAAACGTCGAGTGCTGGAAAGGTGATGGCAACCATCTTTTGAGATGTTCACGGGATAATTCTAATCGATTTCACTCCACGTGGTGTGACTGTTAATGTCGCAGCGTATCAGGCGATGTTGACACGATTGAAACAAGCGGTTCGACAGAAGCGGCCTGGACTGCTGTCACAAGGAGTGCTCTTATTGCACGATAATGCCCACCAGCACACTGCTCGCTCCACGATGGACCTTCTCAGCACCTGGCGATGGGAAACTGTTCAACATCCACCATACAGTCCAGACCTAGTGTCGTCGGATTTTCACTTGTTTGGGAAGCGGAAGAAGCATCTCCGAGGGCGACGCTTTCCATCGGATGACGCCGTCAAAGAGGAAGTCACTAATTGGCTTCAGGAGCAGGACGCGTTCTTCTATCGGCAGGGCTTCCATAAGCTGTTCGATCATTACAAGTTTCTCAACAAGTCTGGTGACTACTTGGAAAGATAATAAACGTATGTGAGGACATTTCCTGCATCGTGTACTCGGTGTAATTACCTGCCCTCCGAATAAATTAAGCAGGGAACCTTATTTTCTGACTTACTCTCGTATGTTACATGTAAAAAATCAATGAGGTCCATGCATACTACTTGTCATCATCGAAGAAATGATGAAAACTAGCTAGGTTGCAATGTTTTAGGACGATCCAATACTTAAGATCAACATATATTTCATGTAATTTATTCTGAACCTGTGTTCAACTCCAAACTTTACTTTCATCTGTTCCTCATAATAATTAAGACTATAAGACAGGCTGCTTTCTCCATATTGTATGAGCCAGGAATGTTAAGTTCCGAGTCTAAACATTGCTATTACAGTCTGTGTGTTCTTTCAGTGGAGAAGTTATTCTCTACTCTGAAGCGAATATATACTATCTCTACTCTGAATTCGATATTTTCAACCCCCTTTTAAGAAAATTCAATACGGAACCAGCGAAGTCCAGTGCCAATACGAAGCAAAGGGTGACTGAATATCAATGAGAATATAAATCAAATAGGAATAGTAATGGAACATATTTGACTGTTGGTCATTGAAGTCACGTTGCTGTGCTTCTCCCAATCTTGCAAATCTGCATTTACGAGCAAGGATCATCTATAGGCCTTCAAATTCTGTCTATGCATATATCTAACAACGAGAAATCTCTCTTGGTTTTCTAGAGGGACGACTCCTGCAATTATGTGGCAACACAACAGAATGTGAAAGTGAAGACCTTAATTCGCATTGTGTTCCTGACCAAGAGTCACCTGGCAACAATACTTGCCAATGCAAACCTGAATACGTTGAAGACACAGGCTCCTGCAGTAAGTATCATGGTTTAACACTTCCGTACTTCCGTAGTTTAACACTTCTCGTTACACTTCCATACGCTTCCAGTTTTCAGAATGGAAGAGAATACAACGACATACTGATTGTATCAAGGGTGGAATGAAGTGACACATCAACCATATTCGCAGTATGTAGCAATCGAGCAACTTATACCTTGTCTCACAGAAGCAAAAAAAAATATATGGTCATGCATCCCAATGAAAGCATCTTCATATAGCATCTTAACCACTTCAGTTTTGACAACATATTCCAACTATAGCTGGTTCGTGTGGACGGCACTGCATCGCGTGTACAATTAGTGTGGAAGGGAGTGGATCGGGGATGGGGAGAGTATGGTCATTGAGGGGAATAGGTGTGGACAATACGTGACAAACCTGGTGATTAGTTTCAAAGTTTATGGACAAACCTGGTGATTAATTTCAAATGTCGTAAAAAAAAAACAAAGTGCAAATAAAAGTGGTTCTTTCCACACGTGTGGATTTGGTTGGGTCGGAATATTTTGGCTGAAAAAGAGCAGATGTGAAGGGCGTCTACAAAGATTTACTTGTCATCCTTACTGCAACCGATTTCCACATCATTCCACACCTGTTCGACCGTGTGGAAGGGTGAGGCTTTCTTAGAAGGGTGAGCAGCCGCGACCTTTTATTTATCAACTACGTATCCGTCTCTGGCGAGGCAAACGGCAGTTTTTTTGCACAACAGGCAGATTTTTCGGGTTCCTCACCCAGGCTGAAGACTACACATGCACACAAGCTTTAGAAGACAGGCAATGAAAACAAGTCGAAGTACAAATTAAACGACTATGTAGTGAGCAATCGAGACGCTGAGATATGATGTATTCAATACATGAAGTGACTGATGTGTCCATATGCGTCAATGGCTGAGTCAAGTGAACTCGTTCCCATGCATTCTGGGAATCAAACTTTAGTTCAGGCACGAAAAAGATTCCCGTGGAAGACTTGCTGACAAAACCTATACTTGAATAAGTATCAGATACGGTGACTAAAGTTGCTTGAATGCACTTCCACTGGCGGACCAAAATTTAATATTTTTGGTGTCCACATCTACGAGATCTCGTAGATCTCTCGTTTCGAATTTTCTATTTTAATCCCCGCGCCTACTCTGACACATTTCACATCCTGAGGCGGAAACCATTAGGAAATGCATGGCCTCATTCTAGTTAACATGGCCTTTGGAACGTTGTCAATAGAGGAAATTGTGGGGGATATTCTACATTCTGACTAAGATTTGAACCTGAATAATGATTCTCATGATGATTTTTGTTTGCCTGACTAATGTCAAAATATATTTAGAATAGGATTGTAGAGAATGAAGAACACCTGCATTTGCCAAGAGATAATGGATGACGAGGTGGATCGTAGCAGGATGAGCTGAACAGACAATAAATTCGACACAGTTGTCACTCCATTCAACTAAAGCAGGCTTGTGAGGCCAGATACGAATGTTACTGCGGAATCGAGAGCGCTAGAAATTATTTTCCTGTTTTGACGTAAGACCTGTGCGATAAGTTGGTGGAAGATACGAACCGTTATTGCGAGGAGGTGAGAGCAACAAAAAAGGTGTTTCCTTTGAAGATTAACAATTGGTCCTAAATTAACATTTTTGAGATCATGCTTTTTCTTGCTTTATATTTGCTAATATAAGAATAAACTTTTCCGCAGGATCTTTCTGCGAGTATTGATGTATTATATTCTAAATAGAATTATGCATGTTTAGAGAAACATATTGGAAGCGCAACCTCTTTTATGCAAAACGGCTGGAGCCATGCATTTCATTTTCAATGATGAAAGGGTATTTTAAAAAAAACTGCGATTGACGAGAGCAGACAAAGCGTAAAAGATTCGGACGGCCATAGGTTAAATTTCCGGCCTAGATTGGACGCAAAATTGCAGCAAAAAATGTGCAACAAATGGATTTCAACAAAAGCACAGGTACAACTTTTCAATATTTGATTAAGTATTCATAAAATTAAGTATTAATGCAATTAGCATGCACTTCTACACAAATATTGGAATGGACATGATAAGGATTTGAAACACCCATTGAGTTATGTAAGAGGAATAGCCATTAGTGATATATCTTTAAAGTGTGGTGGATGTTAAAATATGGTGTTTTGCGAAGTGCTATTCTGGCAAATAACTGAAGTCTGATATTTTTCGTTTATTGCACATTATCTGCATTTCCTAATAGGATGCTTCTTCTTATCGGTGGGGGGACAATAATGAACTTGTGGGCTTTCACTCCTCCTTGGAGTCCAGATTCCAGATCGTGCATGGATGGTATCCTTCTTCTCGAGCTGCTTTCTTACCAAGACTCCTCCTGTAGCGTTGACAGAGCACTTGACATTGCGAAATGTAGCGATTCTTAGTCAAGTATTCTGCCAGTTTTGATGAAGCGCTGATTCAACAGGGTTGAATCAGCGTTCATTAAGGCCGCTTCACCAACTTCCTATTGTTCTACACCCTCTTGGAGCATTTTATCACCCCGTCCCTTTGTAGCTGCTTTAGCCTTGCCATTTGTTCTTATATTCTTTTGGAGACGGTATGATATACACAATGGAATCCGCCCATATTTTATTCATGGAAATCTGAACTTTAAATTGGCGTGGAGAAAACCTAATTAGGCATTTTCCTGGCGTGGCACGTGCACAGCGCTCCAAGCTTGGCGAGCAAACGCCAATAATGTTCATGCGGTGCTGATATACTCAGGAAAAGACAGATCTAATGACATCACAACTCCTACTATGCAGGTGAGTCCTACTTTACCTTGCAACGTTTCTTTTGGACGATTGTATATTTGTACCATATTATCAAGTAGGAGCCTAAGTCCTTCCCAGCCAAAATTGCTCCCATTGACGAGAAACACGTCAGGTATCTTGAGTCATAAAGCAAGAGAAATGTGAGCTGATATAACAGCCACAACTGGTGAATCCAGTCTCTAAACCTACTAAAGCCATACCTATCTCGGCTTGTGGTAGCTAGCCGAATGCCTTCAATCGCGACGGACAATATTGCCCCCATTGCTTCTTTAAATATGCTTTAAGACTGCGTTTAAATGTAATTTCAATGGCATTTTCCTATCCCATGCAGAGGTTCCACCAGGAAGGAAATGTAATGCGACGATAGAATGCGTGAACAACGCCGTCTGCAGAGGCCATGCTGGTGAATTGCGATGTTACTGCAACCCTGGATTGGTGGAAGAAGCAAGACTCTGCAGTGAGTCAACCCCTCCAACAATTTGGAGCATTTCGCAAAAGTTGTACTGGTGAAATTTAACTCATGCAGGAAATCCATTTTTAGACCGACGCTAACGTCTCAAAAGTTGCAAAAGGCATTTCTTCTGACATCCTCGACGATCGTTGTCGCACCCAATGAAGTCTGTCAGTTTCTTTCTCTATGCAGAGGTACCACCTGGAGAGGAATGTAACAAAACGTATACGTGCGTAAAGGGCGCTCACTGCGTGGGACCTCCTGGCAATACAAAATGCTTCTGCGATACCAATTTTGAACCAGAAGGATCGTTCTGCAGTGAGTCCAAGTTCCCATCCACTTTCCATGAGAACATTCAGCGGGAGATTGTTGTGGCACCATTGGAAGGAACTATTGCGGGATTAATTCTTTCAATAAGCCTGTGCATTAGAAACGCCCCTATATAAAAAAGTCCGTGACCTTTCGTTTCTCTGTACAGAGGTGTCTCTTGGAGGAGAATGTGATATGGATGAAGAATGTGTGGAGAACGCAATTTGCAATGGGACTGCAGAAAATCTACTCTGTGAATGTGATAGTGAATTCGTAGAAGAAGGAAAATACTGCAGTGAGTCATATTCCTTGACCACCGGAAACAGGCGTTTCACGTGTCTTGAAAGGATGTAATGGGGTCTTACTTGAGGTCGATTTTTTTTGTGCCGATTATCTCGAAAAAAAATGCAGACCTAGACGAAGACTGAATCACCTATTCAGTTCTGCCAACTTATTTTTCTGTGCAGAGAAACCTGAAGGAGGACATTGTGCGGAAACCGCCGATTGCGTGAATAACGCCCACTGCTCGATGACTAATGATACCTGTGTCTGCAACGATGGGTTTGCCCCTTCGGATGGATTCTGCAGTAAGTCAATATTAATTCAAATGAGGTGCATTTCGCGAGAGACTGCAATGTCATTAGACTATGCCATGTTACCTCCATTGTTTTTACTTTCCTTCCCTGACCGTTCAGGGTTTTTATATAAAATAATTGATAGGAAATGAGATATGACGGCTCTAACCGTGGGAAACGGAGTTGCTGGAGAGAGGATAAAAGCACTTGTTAGTTTTGACAATACTTTAATATTCATGGGCTGCTATTACAAGACACATGTTAAAACTTCGCTCCCATGTGACCTACAGATGTGGTAAGAGTATATATTTTAGTATTTTTATAATTTTTCTGATGTCTTCAAACTCGAAATTATATTAATGGAAAATAATTAAAAGTTTGATGAATGAACGGCACCCGCTGGATGACGCCAGTAAGAGCGAAGAAAAAAATGGGACACTTCTCCAGCTCAATTTCAAGCGCAGTTTTTGTGTCATCTTATGGTAACCGAGGAAGTGTAGAGTGGTGCCAGGACTATGAAGCGTGAATTTTCTCTCATTCTGATCCTAGGTCTGTGAAGTCCGATATACATGCACTAAGCCATCATATCATTATTGCCGATTTTCAAGATAATCAGAAATAGTCAAGCATAAAAGTGAAAAAGGTGGTTGAGCTGGCATGGGTTATATGAAAAGATGCCCTTTTAGATTCTCAATATTTTGCCTCAAAAAACGTAAAAAAGCTATGTAGGCTATGTAAGTAAGCTATGAACAATATATTCAATTGATGTGAATCTCGGATGCACAAAAACAATTAAGTCCGTGACGTTCTGTCTCTTTAGAGGTGGCAGCTGGACAGAAATGTTCGGACACAGAAGAGTGCGTCCGTAACTCCACCTGCATTGGATCTCCTGACAATCAAATTTGTGAATGCAAGGACGGGTTCAAGCAAGACCTTGGACAATGCAGTGAGCAAACTTCCCTAGTCACTCCATATATGTATAAATCATTGGAGATTCCAATAGCATCATTGATAGGAAACTTTCTTCTTCATCAATGATGATTCTTGTGCGATCGATTATTCATAGACCAAGTATGACTACCGTATGGCGTTCCTTGCATGAATGTTTTATTTCATGTTAAATGGGACCTGATAAACTAAGGTAAAACGGGGAAATATTCCTCTTTCTTTTTCTTGGTTTCACCATCCGAATCGTAACGTTACCTCCCCCCATTTAATACTCTTTTAAGCGGAATTTTCAGGTTTTTTAAAAGGCAAATTCCAGTATACACTCTTAGAAAAAGGGGAGCGATTTCTCTCAAAAAAGAGAGTAAAATAGCTAACTCCAGTTTCACCCCCCTTTCACTCTGGGAAAGGAGCGAATTTACTCCATTACCAAGGAGTAAAATTGTTCTCCTCCTCTGTGAGNCTAACTCCAGTTTCACCCCCCTTTCACTCTGGGAAAGGAGCGAATTTACTCCATTACCAAGGAGTAAAATTGTTCTCCTCCTCTGTGAGTAAAAACGCACCCTTCAGAAAGTGATAGGGATGTCATGCAAATATGAAAATTCTCATACATTATGTGTCGCTTTCGCTCTCGCATAGGCATTGACCTACCTCTGACTGTACTGATTACAGTACACGTCAGAGGTTGGACCACCTCTTTTAGGCTCTATGGAGGTTTCAGGGATATCAATCCCTTATTACCTCATTTCATTGCTGTCTGGTTGAATGAATTTCACGGACACTCTGTATGTTCTAGGTCTCCCATGCGGATAAAATCTTACGCGTTCCAAAAGGGTTCTCAATAGGAATATGAGCGTGTTTATGGTCTGGACTCTATGAATATGTCTTGAATATATGGATAACAAATGATGAAGTGTCCGTGTTTATTGATTCCTATAATGAATCACTTTTTACTCCCCAAACGCTCGGAATTTTCTAAGAGTGTACCTTTGCTTTCTAGGTAACCACTGGTTACGTGGAATTAAGGTTTGTCCTTGAGCTTCGTTCATAATCATACTCTAAGCCAAATGAATCGGTAATCGTCTCCGGCACGTATTGAAGTGAATACTAAAATCAGCTGCTGCTTCGAGTGAAACTCATGTCAATAAATGCAAGTTTCCGTGCCGCGCACCGGTGATGATGTCGACTTTGATGACATCATCTTTAATATTTCGAACGATCAACCGAGTGGCATTGCAAATGCCGTTTTCAATAGACAGATTGCGAAGAAGCATGACGATGGTACCGACTTTAAGATTGAGATCATGAGGCGGTAAACCATTTAGGTTTACCGCCTCATGATCTCAATCCAACCAAACCAACCAAGAAAAACGACGGAAAGTTGACCTGCTCTAGACCATCGTCGTCACCCTAATCTGCCTTTACACTTCTCGTACGTTCTCGAAGCACCTTCTAAACGGACAGAACATCCTTGTCCACCAAACAGGAATGCTCATTATTTGAGCACAAAATTGCACGCTGACCAGCAATTCCGTACGTGATGCTCTCGGCCAAATACTTTCTTCACCAAATTGTTAGGCAAAGATCGGGGAGAAGAACAGAGATTTCTAATGTTTGGCCGGTAGCCCTGGGAAATCTGTCATTTTCGAGCACAAGCAACCAATGTGCACTCAACCTCACCGACGTTTGCTCGCATATTTGTGGTTATATAAGAAGTGCGAAAATGTTCCCAAAGCGGGCTCATCTTGATGCATTTAGCAAGAATCTGGCCATGCGATGCCGTCGGGACAATTGGGAGAAGTTGGCGAAAATCGCCACTTAACAATATCACCCCTTACGGAAATGTCCTATAGGAAACCTATAGTTATTTCTTATAGGA